GATAAAATAAAAACTATTTACATTTCATACGATTTTCTTCAGATACGAAAAATTGTTGTTTCCAAATAGCAGCTTCTTGAAGAGAATCCTAAAATTGTTTTCAATTTGAATAATTATGTTGTCTTTTTGAAACTTTTTTGTGTTTTTTTACATCAATTTGTGCATGTTTTGATGAATTTTTAATTCCATTTGTATCTTCATAAATTGTTGGTGACTGTTCTTGTGAATGAGTTTTTATATAATGATGTTCAAGTCCATTTGTATCAGCAAATTTACGATGACAAATTGGACAAAGAAAACCCTTTGAAATAAATGAATAAGAGGTTTTTTTCAAAGATAGCAATAAAAAAAAACGTACTTCCTCATCAAATGAACAGATTGATCCTGTATCACTTTCATTATTATGGGAATGATTTGATCCTGTCTGTGAATAAACAAAAAATAAAAATAATGAAACAAAAAAATTCAATTGCATTTACTTTAAGGTTTTTGAAACGATTAAGAAAACTTGACATGGCAAAAGAAAATATACAGAAAATATTGAATAAAAAATAAACTTATCAATTATTATTTCCAATCATCATTGATGTGATGAGAAAAATATCACACCTATTTGTCAAATATATAACCAGTTCAAAAACGGTAACTAGTTGAGGGCGCTAGTAATCAAACAGATCAAAACAAGAATTTTCTTATCATTTTTCTAAAGAACAACATCAACAGTTATCTGGTTTTTTTTTGCTTTGAGATTACTAAACATGGTTATTTTAGTAATAATTCTATTTATTATTACTATAGTAATTATCTGTCGATGGTATTTATCGTATGTATATTCATCTTTATATTGGTGTTGGGATAATGGCAATGAAGAAAAACGAATTTTTATTGATACAGAGAATATATCTTTTCCAGAAAATTTTTTATGGGGCACAGCAGCAGCTTCTTATCAATGTGAAGGTCCAGGTGATAAAGCATCTGTTGCTTCAAATTGGTCTGAATGGGAACCTGCAGGAATTAAACGTGGTCAACGATGTGGCATGGCTATTGATCATTATCATAGATATAAAGAAGATATTCAATTAATGCGTACACTTGGTTGTAATGCTTATCGATTTTCTTTAGCTTGGGATAAAATTGAACCGATAGAAGGACAATATGATAAAGATGTACTTGCTCATTATCATGATGAATTAAAAGAATTACATAGACAATCAATTATACCAATGATTACATTTCATCATTTTGTTCATCCATTATGGTTTGAACAACGTTCAGCTTTTGTTAATTCATCTAATATAGAAATATTTGTTCGTTTTGTTATTGATATGTTTCGAGAATTTGAAGATGAATGTTATATGTGGTGTACAATCAATGAACCAGAAGTATACGTTAGTGGTGGTTATTTTACTGGTATCTTTCCACCTGGTCATAAATCTCAAGCGAATGAAGCTTCTCTTGTTCTTCAACATTTTTTACAAGCTCATATTGAAATTTATGATAATATTAAAAGAATTGCTCGTCAACCTGAAAAACATTCCATTGGTATTGTTAAAGATATATTTCAATTTGATCCATGGAATCCACTTAATCCATTAGATATATATGCAAGTCATATATTAGATTATGCTATGAATGGATGTATATTAGATTTTTTTCGAACAGGTTATCTAAAATGGACAATGCCTGGTTCAATACATCGAACATATGTTAATGCACGTGCACCATATACAAATGATTTTATTGGTCTAAATTATTATTCACATTTTCTTGTTCGATTTAATTTATTTAAAAAACCACCATTTGAAATTTTACATCATCAAGATAATAGTGGAAGTAGTCTTATGACTGATATGGCATATCCATTATATCCTGAAGGTTTATATCGTGCTTGTATTCGTCTTAAAAATGAATTACCACGTATACCAATTTACATAACAGAAAATGGTATTGCTGATCGATATGATGATCGACGTCATTTATTTTTAAGACGATATCTTTATGCATTAAGTCGAGCAATTAATGAAGCTCATTGTGATATAAGGGGTTATTTTTATTGGAGTTTAATTGATAATTTTGAATGGGCAGAAGTAAGAAAAAAAAATTTTCTTTTTTTTTGTTTAATTATTTGTCTATGAAAATTATTTGATTATTCTAGGGTTATGATATGAAATTTGGTTTATATAATGTTGATTTACAAACACAGGAACGTACATTACGTGATGGTTCGAAATATTTTCAATATGTTATTCAAAAATATCGAGAAAAATATGAAAAGAAAAATCTTTAAATTTTAACACATTCTTTTCTTCTAATAATCAATATATAGAGACAGAATGAAAATTTTACATTTAATATATAATATAAAATAAAAAAAAAGAATACAATAGATATAACATTTATTATCTAAATATGTATTCATATCAACACAAATAAAAGCACTAGTCTATATTTATTGACTAGTAATAGTTCAATCATTATGATGATTGAATAAGAAAGTATTGATTCATTATATGAAAGACATTCGAATGATTGTATTTGACATACGTATATATATATATATATATATGTACATAGATTGTAATGATTAAAATATAGTAAATATTTGTTTTTTTCTTTACTGATAAAAAAAAGTTGATTCAATACTTTATAATCTGGTTCATCACTTAAATATTATTACAGTTGAATGATTTTCTTTTCGAAATTCTTCGATTATAAATCAATAGTTAATTATTCATGACTAAATTTGAACTGAAAATATTATATGAATAGATTAGTTATTTAGAATAGGTGTCAAAAGATCGAAAGTCAAAACGTCGAAAAGCAAAACATCGAAAATAATTTTTTCGAAAGTCTTAATAATAAAGTAGAAGCCACAGATTTTGCCCTCACCCACACTATCGGACTGTACGTTCGTTGTCCTTTTGTGGTTTGTTCATCAAAGACTTGAGTAAGATCCGGATATTGTGGCTACAGAGTTTGTAATTTTCGATATTTTGCTTTTCGACGTTTTGACTTTCGATCTTTTGACACTTTCCCGTTATTTATTCTTTCCATTCAGTTCATCAATCATCATCACATTTCCATATGCATGATTTCTTATTAATTACTTACGATTTTGTAGTGAAATTCTTTTGTTTAAGATAAGATTCAATTAAAACAGTTGATTTAATGTATAACTATGCTCTAATATTCTTTGTACACACATCACTGTTACATATGCCTCGCCAATAAGATAAAAGAATGCAATAAAAAAGAAAATTTACATAGGTTAGAAAAACTCAGAAGCAAGAAACCAAAGTAGAATATTTGGAAAAAAAATATTACAAAAAAAAGAAAAAAACATGTAGAAAGGGTTAAAAATCAAAACGGGAAGGTAACATTTGCTCATTTTGATCATATTGATGACGACGTCGATGACGATGTTGTTTATAGCATACTGTACAAAAACAGCTCGATCCTTGTCGACGATTATTAAGAACAAAATAACGACATGGTGGACAATCGAACATACGTTCTAATAACATGCTACAACATGTATCACAATCATTATTGTTTTCCGATGGTATTCTACTACATGTTGATGACGTAGCATATGTATCACATGCCAAAAGAACGGGTTTCCCAATGACAGTGACAAAACTTAGAGCCATTAGAGTAACAATGAATGAAAAATACCACAAATTTGTCATTCAATTTGTTGACAACTATAGACAAAATATATATAAATTACAAAAAATTCATAGAAATTTTCAATGTTTGAAAACAAAAAAAAAGAAAAGAGAGTTCTATTGAATTATCTCTAGAAATATTTTACCTTTTAAATCCATTTTTTCCATAGGTTTTTGTTCTATAACCATCCCCATTAGGATGGTACTGTCGGTTAAACCTAAACCGACTACATGGTACCACTGTTCGCTTATTCTCTGGTTTTTTTTTCGTAATGATGATTGAATAGCAGAATTGTACTCGTGATGCAAAGCAATTCAAGTTACATTCTTTCTCTCATTTTTTTTTCTCTATGTATTGCGTGATGGTATAGAGAAGAATATGTTGCGTATGTGCTGCAAAAGAAAAGAAAAAAAAGGTCCTTCCGTCGTAATCTTTGTGTTCGTTCGCTCTTTTTTTTTACTGCTTTCTTCTGTTCAATCTTACGTAATATTATCTATCATATGAGTCGAGCGTGTGCAAGAAGAGAAAGAAGAAAAAAAAGAATATTACATAATTTATCGAAAGAGAGTAAGCTTGGTTTATTACGAGAGATGCCCTTTTTGGTTAGTAAGTTTCATCACTATACATGTACAAATATAGAAAGAAGCGAGTTGACCTGATAGTGCTGTAATATATACATATATATATATAAATGTAAAGCGAGGAGAAGAATAGAACAAAATGTGAAACACGACAGTGCGAGGGTCAAATAAACTCACTATAAAGTGATAATGAACGTGTAGAATTTTTGTATATACCTGAAGAAAGACGAAAGAAATTGATTGTTGATGATGGTATACGATGAAGAAATAGCACAATATAAAGATTGTTGTTGATGTATATCCATAAATAGGAGTTTTTTAGAGTGGGCGATGACACTCGATTAGTATGTTTTATCTTGATTGGTAGTATCTTTTAACATTCTTATAACGTTTGTACGTCTGTTGTTTGTAAGACAATTTATTTTCTATATCGTAATTAAACATATGTTAACTTCATCAAGTTATTTTCTTTTATTATATATGACGTTTTCATCTCACATCAAATATATATATGTTATATACATTCAATCAACACATATATATATATATTTCGTTCTTTACTACTAGTATATCATTTCGAAAAAAAACAGATTCATATCTGGTCAAGATCACAAAAAGAAAAGATAGAGAAAAATATTATATATATATATATCTGAATTGATATCTGACATAAGATGAAGAAAACAAAAGAAAAAAAATATATATATAATATCTACGATAACAAAGACAAAAAGAAAGACAAAGAAAACTTTATTGATTAAGAAATAAAGTTTTTAAATGTAATTGTTCAAGATGTGTTAATGATGAATTATTAAATAATTGACAAATTAATTCAATATAATCATTATCAAATGGAAGTAAACCTTTTGTTTTATATATATCAGCTGCTTTTTGTAAACGATCACCAAGTGTTATATTTGATACAATTTCGATTTTTAATGATTGTAAATTATTTTCTTCATTTTCATTGTTTTGATTTATTAATGTTAAATTAGATTTTTGTGATAAATTTAATTGTTGTCGATCAATTAAAGACATATGATTTTTTTTACGTAGAAAATTTATTGGTGATGATATTTTATCATTTAAATGAAATTTTTCATAATCAAGACTATCAATTAATGTATCAACATCATACAATTTATCATGTTGATTTGTTGTCATTGCTATGGATGTTGAAGATATTTCCATTGTAGATAGATTTTCATTATTTGCTAGATATCAAAAACAAAACAAAAAAAGAAGTATGCAATAAAAATGTTTTTGTTTTTGATGAAATTAGATACATACGAATTATTTCTTTGGATGTACTAAGAGATTCATTCATATTATCAATTTTTGATGATATACATGAAGATTTTATTAGTTGTTCTTCATATAAAGAAAGTACTTTTTGAATATTAGCTAATTTTGGTAATGGAATTGGATAAGTTTCAATTTGATTAGGTGTTAATTGTGCGATATTACCAATAGTATGTATATTATTTGAATGAAAATAATCAATAGTATTTGGAGGACTAAAAATGAAATATTTCAATAAGAGTTTTATTTGATAACAAAAAACAAAAAAAAATACCATTGATCATCATATAAAAGATTAATTAATATATCTATCGATTTATCACAATTAATTAAATTTGGAAAAATAGCATCATTAATATTGTTTTCAATTGATATAGACGAATCTTTTTCATTGGAATTAAGAGGTACCTAAAAAACAAAATTAAATTCAGATAATTTATCCGAAAAAAGAAAAGAAATCACAATGAATATTCTAATGTTAATTTAGTATTGTTTTTTTTTAGATAAGAATTTCTATGTAAAACAATTAATTTATTTTGTTTAATGAAATTCTCTAACTGTATGATTTATATTCTCATAAAATGAATATCTTGTGAAAGAAATCGAAAAGTCTACAGAATTGATCAAAAATAAAATATTAATGTAACTATGAAAAGAAGATTTCTGAAAAATCATTATTATTCCAATAATAGTTCTATTTTTTTTTTAACTAACTAAACAAATAAAACGCAAACAACGATGAACAATGAACAAATTTCAACAGTGCAAAATCTCTAGTCACTAATTAACATAATCAAAGTGACTAAGAGATAATGGACTGATGTAACAAGTCAATACAACATAGAATAACTATATCAACTGAGGAGTGCAGATCATCTAGTCAGGAATAAAACATATCAACCGGACTCAACAAACTCCACTCCACTGTTGAATAGACAAACAATATAACAATACATATATATTGATTTTATTTTAAAAATTTACCTCATGTATATGATGATTTTGTGTCCAATCAGCTATAGCATCATTTGGATGAAATAATTTTGATGAACGTATTTTATTAGAATTATTTGATGATGATGATATAATTATTTGTTCAGTATTATTTATTGTATTTAAATGTCGAGTTGTTATTAATTGTTTTCTTAATGGAAGATTTTCTTTTGATATAGTTCTTGTTGGAGATTTTATTTCATCTTTATTTGGACTTTTTTTTTTTTGTTGTATATTTAAATCACGACGTAATGGTGATGCAAATACTAAAACTTTAACTTGATCATGAAAAACAACATGACGTTTATGATCTTGTCGTGGTTTTGTTGGTGATAAACGTTTAAGAATACTTTTAATTGGATATTTTTTTATTTGTTCAATTTGTATTTCATTTATATTTGTTGTTTTAATTAATTCATTTGTTAATGAATGTATATGTTTTTTTTTTGTATTATTAATTAAACTTTTTCTTGCTGATAATGATGGACGACATGAACGACGTAATTTTTTTGTAATTAATGATTCTTCTGGAATATCTTCAATAGATTTTTCTATTTCATTTGATGATTTTATTATAAATTCTTTTATTGAATTATTTTCTTGTGTTATATTTGATATCGTTTGTTTAAAAAGACATACATTTGTTGTTGTTGTTGTTGTTGTTGTCATTTGTTTATTTTCATTACGAAGTTGATCATTTGTCATCATCGTTTCAATAGTTGGTGTATCAATTGTACATGAATTTGATTGTGTATTACCCATATCATCACAAAATAATGGTATTATTTGACGTTTACGTAGTTTTTCTTTTTGTTTTTCTGTTAAACAACTACTTGTTGATGATGTACGTTTACTAATAATAACTGGTGTATCAGATTGATTATTATGATTAATATTATTGATTATTGGAACAAATATTGGTTCATTTTTATCATTATTTAGTGAACGAATCGATGGTAATAATGGAGATTGAAAACGTGCTGGTGATGATGGTTTAGATAATTGTTGATTATTTATAGTTGCTGGAATTAATGGAGTAACAATATCAATTTGTTGAGATAATTGACTTTCATCATTACTACTTGGTGCTGGTCCACTACCAGCTGTATTACTATTATCATGATCGGCAAGAAAACATGGTAATAATAAATGTTCTTTATCTTTTAATTCACGAAGACACATTCTAAAAATGATAATTAAATAAAAATAAAAAAATTATTAGTCTTTTTAGAGTATTTTATTCAGTGTTAAGGTCGAAGGTACAATACTTCTTCAAAGATCGAGTTGAATCTTCTACGGTTTATAGTTATTCTATTACATCTATGTTCTCAAAAATAGCTGTTCGATCTTTCGGAAGAGAAAATCTAGACAAAATGCATCTAAGACAGTTGTGTACTAGGACATATATTCTCTCTGACACTTATACTCTAGAGTAGATGGCCGTCGAATAGATTCTATCTTAATTTTCGAATGAATGATATTCAATAGTAATATTAATTCAAAACAATAAACTCAATCATTGATATATCAATTGATGTGAGAATAGATATAGATGAAGAGAAGATTGATTTACATTCTACGTTCAGATATTGTCAATATTATTTTTTCACATATAGACAATAATGATCAGTTAAAGTGTATTCGATGTTTTCTATTTCTATAAGTTCTCTTTCTGTATTCTTGCAGAACAACAAAATAAATATATTCGAATTGTTCTTTTTTTTTATTTTTATGTTTCTTCAATGAAAATCCATCGGAGAACGAAAATATTCAGCTTCCAATAAAACACTGATATTAACTAGCTTTTCAACTTGTTTGATTATCTTACGAACAATTAATAATTAGTTTCAAGATTTCTGTCACATCATATCATATATACATCATTCATAAAATAAGTCAATAAGCATCTATCTACTGAATACATTTTGGTATTTGATGATTGTCTTTAAACATTAAAAAATCGAATTAACACAAACTGTACATCGTTTTGATATTTTTCTTAAACAAACTTTTTTCATCATGAAAAAAAAAAGCGTAGAAACCTTCTCGGATCTAGTACATTCAATATTTATCCGAAGAACTTGAAAAGACAGTTTTGTATTTCAATCGAATATGTTATCCAAGATGGTAAATTTTGTTCTACTCTATCCTGAAAATTTCAAATTTTTCTAATAATGTCGGAAAGAGAAGCAAAAGATTATTCTTAATCATATTTGTTTTATTTTTTGTATGCCAAAAAATTCAATTACCTAAGTTCATTTGGATAGACAATAAATTTTAATCGTCCAAATGTTTCATTCCAACATTTTCTAGTTTTATTTCTTATAATTGTTTTATTATGTTGAAAAGCAAGTATTAATAATGGATAAATAAGTTGAAGTAATGATGAACTATTTGATGGTTCAAATACTAAAGATATAATTGTTAAAATTTTATTTAAAATAATATTATCTATTTGTTGTTTAGGTGATGAACCAATTGCTAAATTTATATTTATTGTTTGTTCATATAAATGAAGAAATGATATAAGTTGTGTTAAATTTTGAAAAATAATTTCAACATGTGAATATATTTTACATAAATTTAATAAATCAACAATAATATCACGTATATATGTAAATACAATAGATTTAGTTTGTTCATTTGATGAATTTTTATTTGATTTTAATAAACAATAACTAACATATATATATTGTATATTATTTTCATTATTTGATATTAAACGTTGTAAAATATGATTTATTATAATTGATATTTGTGTTAAACAAAGTACTATTGATGATAATGATATTGAACGTTTTTGTGTAGTTGTTGATAATAAATAAACAAAATTATTATTATTATTATTATTATTATTTGATCGATCAAATATAACTGATAAATCAATATCTGATAATGTTTTTAATATTGTTTTTATTATAATTAATATAAAACCAAATAAACGTTGATTATGTTGATCATAAATAGCTTGTTCAAAGATTGGTTCATTACGAAGTATTTCAACAAGTAAATTTATTAAAAAACTTTTTGATTGATCATTATTAATTAATGTTAAACGACATAATGCTTTAAATAATTGTATCCATAATAATGTATATGAATAATCAAGACGTTGTATATCATTAAAATTCAATGGACGTAATAATAATTCAATAGATGTTTCTTGTTTTTGTTTATCAATTTGATTATTTAATTCAAATGTTAATGAACGATTAAGAATATTAATTAAATGTGTTGAACAACGAAACCATATATGCCAAAATAAATATGGTATTGTTATAGGTTGATGTAATAATTCAACTGAACATTTAAGTAATAATGAACTTGTTTGATAACAAAAATTTTCATCAGAAGTTTTTGATAATGTATCAATTAAATAAGATATAACATGAAGATATGCATCTTCAATTATTTGATCTTCATCATTAAATCTTATAGCATGTTCTAACATCATATGAAGATATTGATCTGATAATGTTGTACAATACGACATAGATTTATCTTCTAAACATGTAGAAAACAAAAATTATTTTTTATCTTTGACTAAGAATGTTTCTCGACCAATGATTAGAGTTAATAGAAAATTTAAAACATTGAAAAAAAATTCGATCACACAGTTCAATACATGTCTAGTCGTATAAATTTCATGTGACTAATCATTCAAGCATGAAATAAAGTTTATTTCAATCAGTGTCACAAGACGCTGGAAAAAAATATATAGAATATATATTTGAAAAATTAATTGTGACCAAAAAAAAGGATCGACCAAGCAATCATTTAATTCTGACGAGGGAACATTCCCAAGTGATTCGATAGAGTATATTGAGATAAGAAATAGCCTAAAAGGATTCGTGCCCATGGCTTAGTAGTGAGGAGTTATAGCCGTTTTACTGTGAGCCAGGCATTGCGGAAAAAACCAAAATGAAAAATTTCGAGCTGAAATTCTATATATAGATAGATTTAATAGTCATTATACAGTCCTGAAAGTTTCAACGAAAACGAACATGTCTTTCTCGAGTTATTCAACTTTTAAAAAGAAAACTGTTTACCATAGAAGGACACAATAATCCAGTTTAGTTGGAAATTGAATATCTCGAGAAAGACATGTTCGTTTTCGTTGAAACTTTCAGGACCATATAATGACTATTAAATCTATCTATATATAGAATTTTAGCTCGAAATGTTTCATTTTGGTTTTTTCCTTAATGCCTGGCTCACAGTAAAACGACCATAACTCCCGACTACTAGGCCATGGGCACGAATCTTTTTAGGCTATTTCTTATTTCAATATACTCAATCGAATGACTTACGAATGAATCAACATAGAGCGAATCACTTGGGAATGTTCCCTCGTGAGTAAATCTTTGAAAGACGCGGAAATTAAGTTTACGCGAAATTTTAATGAACAAAAAACGAGCTATTCAAAGTAGTTGTAAAACTTTTTATAAATAGATTAAAAGAAATAACAAAGATTGCCCAATAAAATAATTAACCTAATTATAGGTTATCTATGACACTTCTATTCATATTATAACTTGTGATTTTAATGATATATTTGTCCAGAAACTTTCAAACGATTCGTTTTTTATTTTATAAATTGAAAATCTTTTGATTTCTGCGATATGAATATAATTTATTTCTAATTGTTAATTTTCTTAAAAATAGCTTACGTGATTTATGATTATTTGATGAAGGATGCATTTGTGCAGCTGATAATGTTTTTGTACGTATATTTGAATCACGTGAAACAGTTTCAATTGCTAATGGAAATCCAATTTGTTCAAATGTTTCAAATAATTTTAAAAGAAATCGAGTTTCAATTCTTGAATCAATCCATAATTGTTCAATACGTGTTAATAAACAAGTATTTATTGTAACACGTTGTTTTTCATGAATTAAATTATTTGTTTTAAATATATTTATTAAATGATTTAAATATGTATTCCAACTAATTAACCATAATGAATTATCATCAATTTTTATTGAATTTATTTTATATTCTAATAATTGATCAACAATAGAATCAAATAAATAATTAAGTATTTGATCACCAGCTATAGTTAAAATATATTCACAATGAATATTTTTAATTAAAAAATCATATAGAAATTTTGCACCTATTTGACGACATTCTGACCACCATGCTGTTGTTGTTGAATTTATTTTTGATGATATATGATTACCAAATGCAAATGAAAGAAATGGTAATATAATATCATTGATATTTTTTGGATAGATTGAAATAAGTGTTATCCATGCATGACATTTTGATATTGATGCTGATTTACTTTTTGATGTTGAATCAGATAAAAATGGTGTTAAAAATAATTTTAATAAACGATTATTTAATTGTTGAGTATCAACATCATCAAATTTATGAATATGTAACATAAATGATGACCATGTTGTAAATGCGGCACTACGAATTGAATAATTTGAAACAATAAAAGCTAGAAAAGAAAACATCTCAACAGTTTTTTTTATAAATTTTTATCGTGTTACTTAGATGAATAATCCTTTTAAAGATCGTACTAATTTCGATATCTAGTACATATGAACAATGTACACGCGATTTAATTTCTCGTGGATCTATGAATCTTTAACATTTCAGACAAAAATTGTCTCTGATCATTTCGTATCTAACTGATATGATCCAAAATTTATTTCAAAAACAAATCGATTTGACATAATCAAACGGAGGAACAATATTTTCTATTCTGTAGTTATCATCGAGTTGCTATAATATGCTGCGTAAATTCTTATGACAAAATGTTATTACGCTACACTAACGAGGGAACATTCTCATGTGTCACATCGCTTTTGAGTCGGCTGTTTGGGGATTATGTAGGTCATAATGATCTATGAATCCTTCCAAAAAAGTTCGTGCCACTAGCTTCTTACTGCTGAGATATAGCATTTTTACTATATGTTTCGGAAAAAGCCGTGGTCCCCCTCAGGAAAAATGAGTTTTGAGTTTCAGCCTGAAACTTTGCACGTATACAGGCCTCAATGAGAACAGTTTATTGTGAATGTTTCAGATTTTTTGGTTGCTCCTAGTCTGAGATAAGAACATCGGATCCACTAGGGTATATGAGCAATTTTATGATAGTTGTATCTTCGGATAGGTGCAACGAAAAAAGCTGAAACTTTCACAATAAAGTATTCTCATTGAGCCCTATATCTGTGCAAAGTTTGAAATTGAAATTCAAAATTCAGTGTTCCAAATGTTCCTGAGGGGGACTACAGCTCTCTTTTCTTAAACATACAGTAAAAAGGCAGTATCTCAGCAATAATAAGCTAGTGGCACGAAATTTTTTCAGAGAATTCATAGATCGTTAGGATCTACATAATGCGCATATGCTCGACTTAAAAGCGATGTGACAGTTGAGAATGCTCTCTCATAAGTCAATGCATTACGTAGAAAGTCGAATATCCTAAACAAATAATCCTTGAATCTAATGAACAATAAAATTTTAAACATTATCGAATGTTAAACTTGAATTAATTATATGAACTAACAAAAGATATTCAACTTTTTAATATAAGTCAATAAATAAAATTTAATTATATGATTTTCGACGAGAACTTACCATCTTCAATAATAGCTAAAATTTCATTTCCTTTTGTATGACCACGTATTATCAATCGACTAAGAAGAATAGCTAATGATTCCCATAAATGAATAGTAAATAAAGCTAATCGTACATCATCTATATTTTGTATCCATAATTTTAATTGATGAAGAAAATTTATTGAAATAATTAATGATGTTGATGTTCGACTAAGAATTTCAACAATTTCTTTTGATAATGGTGTATATTGTTTAATTATTTTTGAAAGTAAATCAATAATTAAATCACCATATATTAAATATGTTGTTGATGTAATATGTGTTGCAATAAAATTTAATAAACATAATAACCATTCAACTAAGGTTAATATTAGAATATTTGATCGATATTCAACAAGTACAATAAATAAACGTATTATTGATAATAATATCTCATTATTATTATTATTATCCTTTGTTAGAAATATTTGTTTAATAAATGGTAATAAATCTTGTTTAAATTGTATATCAGATAAATAATCATAATTTGTTATTAAACAATCAAGAATAAATAAACAAATTTTTCTATCAACATTTTCTATTGTTAATATATGACAAAGAATATTAAATAATGTTGATCGATTTGTTAGAGACTGATAATATTGATTGTATATATGAGTAAATTGTACGGGTGAATGAAGATTTGTATGAAAATCATCGTGGATATTTGAAACATCCATAGAATTTGATATAACACATGTTGAACGTGTTTTTCGTGTTGTTATGATCGATGATGTTGACATTGTTAAATAGATTGAACAAGTGTGAAACCATCATATCGTTAAAAATTTAACAAACAATAGCAGCCATTCAAATGGACATTTTCAAACAATGAATAACCTCCTTTTTGACACTCAAAGGTAAATAAAACAAAACTTTTTCTTTTTTGTTTTGGATTAATATTTATTTAATCGACACATGTAAATTTATTATAGATGATCGATTTATCTTTTATTTTACAACAAAAATAAAATCTTTAGTTCTCTCATTATTATTATTATTATTAAAAAATAAAATTTAAAACATTTTTGATTTGTTTTATATGACATCTATTAAACGATGTCTCTAGTAGCAGCGGCACTAGGATTTCTGAAGCCAGAGAAGGAGCAGTGGCGAGTTTTTCATGCTTCCGTTGATATCAGCCTTAGCAATAACTTTCAAAATATTTTGGAAATGCTCAAAACAATTTTTGAGATGGCCTCACCCTCTTGTGGCGCCACCATAGGTCTCTAATTGTTCACAATATTATCGAAGAGTTTTTTTTGTTAATTGTGCATTTCTTTTAAATCTGGATTTTGCTTCTTTTTTGTTCTAACAATGAATTCAAATGATAGTACAAATATTGGTAAACTAGTCATTAAACATCATGTGAATCAAAATCACCTAACATGATCGTTCAATTGACATGATTCTAAAAGCTATATTAATTATTCAACTGGATTTTTAGAAAATAAAATAAATAAATAAAAAAAAAAAACAATAAGAAGCATGTAAGAGTTATCATTATATGTAAGCGAAACAAAATGGTATAATTAAATTATTGATAGATATGACTTGGGGTCATGTGCAATAGATTTCACAACATAATGTTAAGAAAATCGCATATTAATAAAATTATAGATCTCTATTCTTTTCGGTAAAAATTGTTATGTTTAGAATACTGAATTTAAAAAGATCTTGATGAATGATGTCAAAGAAAGACGAGATCATTTTTGAAATTTAATCATTAGTTTTGTTTGTACTCTTTTACACCGTACAATTTTTTGTTAAGTGCAAATTTTTTTGTTTGCATTATTCATCATATTTGAGTAGGAGAATATCTAAATATAGCAATATTTTGCCACGTCGACAAGTTTCTCATTGGTTAAGTAACAAAAATTAGTAATACTATTTCATTATTATTGCGCAACTTCTGAAGATTATTCATTCATAATGAGTAGTATAAAAGACAAGATTTTTATGTTGTTTTTTTCATTTCATATTATTTGCAACAAAATATAACTATGGCTACAAATCAACAGCAATATGCTGAACAATTACGCATTCTTCAAGAACGTTTTGCACAAGAACCAATAGACAAATTAATTCGTCTTTTACAACGACATGCTGGTGATGTTGATCAGGTATAATATATATTTCTATTTAAAAAATATATTCAAAACAGCCCGCTAATACCTCTCATGCGGGGGAATGGAGGTTGCTCGATATATATATATCGGCGTAAAAAAAAAGAACAAATTTAAAATTAACTTTTTAGATTAAAATATATGTATGTATTTCAATTAGGTTCGTGCACTTCTTGTTCATCGAGAACATCGTGCTAACAAATTGAATACACTTGAAGCACGATTTGGTACAATCGTAACAGAATTACAACAAGAATTTCCATCGGCTCAACAATGTAAACGTATTCGTTTATTGAGAACTATGGAATGTTTTGGTGGTGATGTTGAACAAGTTCGAAAATTTTTACAAAGAAATGAAGAACGACATAATCAACAAGGTGAAAATTCAGGTGTATCTCGACGTCAAAAACGAGAAGAATTAAAAACAAAATATGCTACTCAAATCGCTGAATTAGCTACAGCTGGTATTAATGTTAATTCTCCATGTTTACTTCGACAATTGGAAAAAAATCAAGGTGATGTTAATAAGGTAGGAAATTGTCTTTTATTCTTATAGAATATCAAGGTTTCATAATTAAATATTTCAATTACATATAATAGATTATTGAAAAAAATTCACGTCGTACAGAAAAAAAAGAAAAATTAGCTGAACTTGATACAAAATATGCAAATCAAATTGCACAACTTGAAGCTGATGGTGTAACTATTAAAAATAAACGTATTTTAATACGTTTATTAGAAAAAGCTGATGGACAAATTGATGTTGTTAAACAACTATTAAATGAAAGAAAAGTAAAACATGAACAACGAAAAGAATATCGACATAAACATCGAAGTAAATCACCAAATAAAACAACAGAAGAAACTAATCAAACACTTCCAATATGGAAAAAACGACGTGAATTAAGTGTTGATGATATTAATAATCTTAAACGACTTCGTACAGCTGGTGTACATGGAAATCCAATGAAAGTCTTATCAATCTTTTATGAATGTAATCAATCAATTGAAATGACTATTGCACGAACTGCAGAAGAACGAGAACGACGTGCTCGAAGTCGAGAAGAACGAAAATTCGTAAGATTGAATTATAAACATAAACAAAAATAATTAATAAATATTTTTTTTATTGTTTTATAGAAACGTACATTATTAGCTGAAGCTCATAATGCTTATATAACAATAAATAATCGAGATGATTGGCCACATAATATTGAACATGTTTATTTCGATGGAAATAATATGATGTTTGTTGTTGATTGTCTTCGTCGTTTATGTTTAAATCGAGCTGGTAAAAAAACTGAACGTGCTTTAGGAGAAATAGCTTCAGCATGGAATGAACAAATGCATATACCACATGTTGAACTTATATTTGATTCAACAAATCAAGTAGAACAAATTGGTACAGTTAAAGTAACAAGTGCTCAACCAAAATATCGAACAACGGATGATATGTTAGTTGAAATAGTACGACAACCTGAAAATCGTGAAAAAAATAAACGTACAATTATTGTGACATCTGACCGAGCTTTAGCTACACTCGTAAGTTAAAAAGATTACTATTTGTTTTCTTTTTTAACTTTTGTCTTTATTTTAATATTTAATTATAGTTACAACGTGAAGGATGTTTACTTGTTAAACCATATAATTGGTTTGCTCATTGTGTCATGACTTTGACACCTGACTTAATTAATTATGAAGAATTAACAGGTATGATGACAAAACAATCAACACCAACAACATTTAAAATTCGTTATAATTTTGATGAACTTGTTCATCGTATTGCTAAAATTGATATATAAAAATTTCCAATTCAAATTTTTATTATAATCAAGAAGAACATTATATTTTATTTTATTTTATTTCTTTTCTTTTTTGTGCATTTTGATTACATATATAAAATAAATTTTTTAAGATGAACTATTTGATCAATTTGAACTGTAATCATATTTTTCAATATAGATACGAAATGCATTCATTATGAATTGATAAATATATATATTATATTAAAGAAAAAAAAAAAAAAAGAACGCTTTATTACATATGTCTAATGGAAAGAATGTAAATGTAACTCTTCATACAATTTTTTTTCTTCTTGCTTATTCACATTATCATATTCGAAATTATTCGAGCGAAACCAGTGACCGTCTGAATACATACTATGTACAAAACTAATTGCGTTAGTTATTTGATTCAATCGGACAACTCACTTTTTCTTTTACCTTTGATATATGTAACTGTTACGGTTCACGTTCTTCTTTTTCTCATCATTATTGCATTTTTTTTCTTTTCTCTTTTTTCATTTTTTTTGTTAAAGTGTTATAAAAGCGTAACCAAAAGACTAATAGAAAAGAAAAGATGATGGTCAAAGGTAATTCAAGTTGGATATAGAATATCGACATAGAAGTATTCATTTCACGATTATATTGAAATTAGTAAGTTGTATAAAAGAAAATGTCGATTTATTATTTTTTTTTAAATCATCTAACAATAGATATATATTGACTAAGAGATAATTTAATTAGACTATTCGTTTCAAAGAAAAAGGTGAAATACGTGAAAAAATAATTAGTTGAAAAGATTACATAATTATTTAATTAAAGTTATAGGGATTTTATCAAACGATTTAGTTAAATCAATTATCTTGCTGAATCATTTTTGTTGTTAGTTTTCCATTTTTAGTTTATATTTTTAACAAATAAGAACAACACATGCCTGTTACTACTATTATGAAACCATCTACTCCCGTAAGTACAGTCTCGTCTTTGGATACAAATACTACAGCAACCGCTGTTCAAAGTGGTCCCTATACAAAAGCTCAATGTAAACTAATTTCATTTTCTTTCAGGATTAAATAAAATCTAATTTCATTTTCATTAGTTCAAAATACTATGGAAGGTTCTCGAAGTGTAAAAAATGCTAAAGAAGTTGAACAATTACTTCGTGATTATCCTGCTGCATTAGAACTTTTTCGAACAGGAAGATATAAAGTCAAAGTTAAATATGAAGCTGATGTTGAACGTGTTATACTTGTTGAAAAACGATCAAGCAAAACTACGTCAAATAATGAAATAAAAACAAATGGTGTTCAACAAAATAATCAATCTCATCTTGATATATCAACAAAATCGGAAAAAATAAAAGAAGATATAAAAACAGAAAGAGATTCTGAACGATCACGTAGTCGTACACATTCACGAGATCATGTTGCATCAATAACATCTGCAACAGATAATAATACATTAGCTCAAGCAACAACATCTTCAATGCGTATGGCAAGTAATATTCAACCTAAAGTTGATCATTATCGAACATCATCTCAAGATCAGGAAGTTTCAATCACATCACAATCAAGAAAACAACACCAACAAAATACTCATCATCGTACTAATTCACGTGATAGTCCTTTTAATGTAGCACATATAAAACATAAAGGAAAGAAAAGTAGTCGAGATCATCCAAGAGCCTTAGTACCTTACGTATTCAATGGTAATCAACCTCAATATATGTGGCCACAATCACGACCTGTTCAACATTATTATAGCAATCCTGTATTACCACAACAAGCACAACCATCAAATAATTATATGCAGCCAACATTTTTACCACAACAAAATCCATTATATCAACAACCATATTATTATGGTCAACCACCTCTTCCTGCTCTTGGTTATCAAAAGTAAATCAATAATTTATATTGAAAAAATTTTCTTTTTTATTCAATTGATTCTATAGACCATCGGTTTATCCACCAACATCAATAGGAAAATCAGCAAGAAATAGTGGTAATGCAACTATTCATTCAACACGTAATCATCCATTATCATCTAAGACTAAATCTGATCCAAATAGAGGTGGTACACTTCCAACATCATTTCATACATTTTATCCAAATCAACAACAATATCACTCTACTCAGCCTATATATCAACCACAAATACCAATGCAAATGCCTGCTGCATGGTCAACAGCGACTCATAGACGAGCAGGTCCAATTGTCAATAATGATGATAATAACAATGATAATGTTACTATAGAAAATCGACGAAATTCGAAACATCGTGCTCATAGTGTTGAGACAGGTCCTCGTGGTCAACCTCCAAATAATTATCATAATCAACCACAACAACCACCCCCTCCTACGACTATCGAAAATCAACATCATTATTATCATCATCATCATCATCATCATCGATCTCATCCAACAAATGTACCAGTTAATAATACTATTGTTCCACCGGTAGAACCTGTTCGAGAACAAAATATTCCATTGGTAAAAGAAAAGTTTAGCTTACTTGAAACAATAATTTTCTTGATTTATTTAGAAAGAAACAACAACGGTAATTAATAATGGTAACAGTGGTGATAGATTAACTATTCGTCAATTAAATGGTTTATTTTCTAATATTTATCTTCTTCTTATGATCAACATATATGGTTTTCTTTTATAGAAATTTTCCTTCGAACAGACCCATCAGGTCGATTACCATATCATGTATTACCTAGTATTTTACAACGTTTTGGCATATCATTAACAGAAAATGATTTAACTTCAGCTGCACGTGATCTTCAATATAATAGTAAGATAAATCTATTTACTTATTTTTCTTTAATATAATCTTTTTTTTTTAAGCGAACGAACCAATATCTGCTCGACGTCTAGTACATGTTTTAATTAAATTAGGTAAAATAGCAAAATCAACACATCAACAGAATCAACAACAACAACAACAACAACACCACCACCATCAATACCCACAATCCGCTCTTTCACCAGCCATGTTACCTGAAGATCGTGAAGTGACTGATATTATGACACATAGTAGATTAGCTGGCGTAAGTTGTTGTCTTTTTCGTGATGACAATTAATTGATTTCTAACAATTATTTCTTTTTTTTTGTTTTTGTTAGGCTACATCAACTCATATACATTCATCAACACATCCTAATCATTGGTATTAATATTGTAGACACGATATATATATACATATACGACTATAAACGTAGAATAACAATGAAATAATCGTAAATTTTCTTTTTCTATAATTTTAATGTATTTGTATTCATTTATCTTGTTTGAAATATTGTTCAGTTCACGATTTAGAAAAAAAAAAACAAAGCATAAAACTCATAGATTATATTTCCAATATAAAACTTACTACATTGTTTCTTATTCTTTTTTGAAGTTCAACTAATAAGTTATAATTCCATGAATTAGACAATCAATCATGGCATTATTTAACATTCAAAAAATTCTAGCATTTATACGCACAAAAACAATAGTTTCAAATGAATATTTGTTGTTTTATTTCATGAAACTCTTCTGATTAAATGTTTTTCTGATCAATCATCTTGGTACAATAGTTCATTGATGTTTGTTGTTTTGTTTTTTCGTAGATTCATAAAATCTGATTTTCAATATTGACAATCTGTATATGTTTTTGATGTATGAAACAACCCATAGAATTTTGATTACATTCAGGTGTTTTACGAAAATAGCACAGATAGAATCTAATTAGGGTCAAAATTTTCGAATCAGCATATGACAAATTCGCAACTAACTCGATGAATTCTAGAGAAAATATTTAAGTTATACATCTCATTATAAACTACAAATTATTTTTTATTATCTAGTTTAACAAATAAAATTCTTTGAAATTTTATAGAATTTTTAGATTCTATATACATTTTTATGAACTACATCTACCTTCGTACGAGAATATAGTAACAAAAAAAAAAAACAACCTTTAATCATGTTTTAATTTGTCAAACTAATTGAACTTGTATTTTTCATGGATGATACACGCATGTAATTGACATTAATACATCAAATACCGAGTTGATTAGTAGTTTAACCTTCGATAATGGGACAATTACAATCATCAATTATAGTATCTACTCTGTTCATCTATATGCACTTGTGACATAGTAATTACTGTAGTTATTGACAATGATAACCGATCGTCGTACAGTTACTATATTGATCAATATCAAATATATTAACATTATTTTTTTTCTAGTTACCATTAGTTCGACTATCCAAACGAATATCGTTTATCAATATTGTATTTCGATAACTTATAATGGCTAATAAAAAGAAAATATCTATGATTTCCTGAAATTAGATGAATTTGAATAGTCTAAATAAAAATATTTATTTAAATTTTTTGTTATTTATTAATTAATAATATTCTTATTAATGGCTTATGACAATTTCTGTACGGTTTATTTCAACAATGTCTCTATCACAATATCAATTTAATTAAATTTACTGAACCTTTTTTTCTCTAGGAAAACAAAAATTTTCATAATCAAAAAACTAAATACTTGATATATCTATGTCAGTGTTTTATCCAATGAGAAGATCGAGAGAGCAATGCTTCTTCGAAAATTCGATTGACCTTTGCAGAGTTTGTGGTCATTGTAGTACATACTATGTTTATATGCTCTCACAAAAAAAAACTGTTCATCCTTTTGAATTTTTAAATTTCTCCTTTAGAAGATGAAATCTGGATAAAACACTGTATCTATGGAACAAGAATCATATCATTAAAAATCATAAAATTACGAAAATGATTATCACAAGTTTTTGGTTATGTTCTTGATAGAACGATTATAATGCCATTTTAACGATATTACATATCGTAGCTAAAGTTCCACATAAACCAACAATAAACACAGGTAATTTTCCTGACCATAAAAATCCTGGTATGGCAAACCAATGAATACAATTGAGAAAAAAACAAATATTATTTAATAATGTCAACATACATTTATACATCTCCGATAAAGGTACCATTGGGCTAAAAAATAATCAACATATAAAAATAAAAAATAAATTTATAATTTTCTTTCAATAAAAATCTAACCTTCGTATTTCTTTACTATTTCTATCTTTATTTTTTTCTGCTCTCAATAATTTTTTATATTTAATTAATTGAAGTGTATTTCTATCAATAAAAATATAATTGTTAAAAAAGAATATATAATTCAATTCAAATATAAATAATTTTAAATACCTAATAATTGAAATAATAATATTTGATAACCAACAAATTAATGAAACAAGTCGAAATGGTCTCGATGATCGATTTGCTCCAAATACATTTGCTTCATATAACCATGCTATACATTCAGCAGGATAATAAATGAAATCAAAAAGATTACTAGCTAATGTTAAAAAACGATTGATACTAGATGATACTGAATCCTAAATAATTAGTTTTTTTTTTAATTTAAAAAAAAAATACAAAAACAATTTAAGAAATAAATTACATTTTGTCCAAGACCATATTTACGAATTCTTGAAAGACAAGCAAAATAATCTAATGATCGATTAATTGTACGACATAAACTAATACGTGCATATAAATTAAGAAGATTTTCACGCCATTTATTTTTTTCTGATAAACAACCAGCTGTAAGACAAATGGAATATTGTGAGAGACATAAGAATGTATTTCTTGAAGAATTGGATTCTAATTGAGTTGCTAAAGAATCCATTTGAGATTATTTATAACTTAATCTAGAAAGACACACACACAGAATTCGAGTTTGATATAAATTTTTTTTATCCATTGATACTAATAGCAATAGATATTTTGTTATGTTAACAAAAGAATTTTTCAAAAAAATATAATAATTCATGCAAACAAGCAATCAAAGTTAAGTACAATAAATAAATCGACTGAATAAAAATGGACAAATTTTAATATAATATTAAATCTGGCAATTATGATTAACTGGTAAATGTTTCAATCTAAGAAAAGAAAAAAAAAATATCAAGAAATTTACAATTAAAAGAAAATGAATTGTAATTCTAATTACTTCTTTAGCAACAAGATCCTTTTTATGTACGAATAGATCAGCTTTTTTTATATCATTTCGTTGACGACATTCATCTGCTTCTTTATTATACCGTTCCATTAATTGTTCAAGACCTTGAACATGTTCTATTAAAAGTTCATATAGTAAAAAAAAAAACATTAAACGAAATATAAAAAAAATGATTATACCTTGTACAGCTTGTTTCCCACCTTGACGTATATTTGCAACTATTTCATCACTTTGTTTCAAAAGTGTTTGATGTTTTACTCGTAATTGATCGATTTGATCTTTTGTAAGATAATCTTCAAGGTTTTCGATCTAATTTAATAAAAAAAAAAAAAAACAAAAAATAATAAAAACTTCTTTTCCATAATCCAATAAACCTGTTCTTGAAGAAGATCTGCTTCATATTTAAGTACTTGTATACTTTGATAACCAACTGATTGTTGACTATCACGATGATGATTATCATTATTTGATTCAATTATATTTGATCGACTAGATCAAAATAAATAAATGATAGATTATTATAAAACAAACATAGCTCAAAACTATAATTTAGCAAAAAACATGTGATGCATGCATATTGTGACGAAAAAAATGATTGGATAAACAATTGTCTTATGTTGGTTTTTTACTACACTTCTATAAAATACCTGCTATCAATTACCGCATCATTATCATTATCATTATTATTATTATTATTTAAATGATTAGCCAAATTTAGTGCCAAGAAACCTAGAGCATCGCTTCTAGGTACAAGGCATGCAATAGCATTAATCGATGGAGCTGTTGATGGTGATCTGAATTTAGAGCAAAATTATTCTCTTTCTATTTTGTGTTAATAGAAAAATACAAGAATAAAGACACAAGAAAAATATACTAATAATAAAGCTTTGATAGCGAGCGAAAGAAAAAGATTAATAAAACAAAAAGAAGAAGAAAAAAATCTGTATATGTATTAAACAATTATTTCTTCATTTTTTTTAGGTTCATTAATTGATTGTATTTTATTGTTTTCGCAAAATTGGATTTATAAACATGTACAAAATGACGATGTGTGTTTGTTGATATTCGTTGTAGCATTTGTTACGAGATGTAGACTGAAAAAATAGGATGATCGACCAAATATAAGACAAAAACAAAATGAAAATTGATTAATAAAAATGAACATTACGATAGGACATTATGGATTCCATTGAAAATACAAAAAAGCAAAAGAAGAAGCTTCTAAGCATAACCGACATATATATGTATATATTTAACTTACTTTGATGTTGATGATTTACTATTATTAGACTAAAAAAATAGTGAAACACAAAAGTAATTGAAAATTAACTAATGTCAAAATTTACTTTTTCTTCAAAACGATCAATAACAAGCCATTGTTGTGATAATACTTCAGATGATTTTGTTGGTCCAAATGCTTCTTTAATACGTATTTTAACTTCTAATTTTCCTTCTGGTTTTTTTTTATGATCTGTTTCATGAATATCAACTGATTCATGTATTGTTGGTGTTTGTTCTAATGGTGCTAATTTAATTGATGCTATTCCTAATTGACGATCTGTACGAAGAAAACCAACTCGATAAAATATTGATAATTTTAATTCTTTTCGACTCATTAAACGTTTAAATTTTCCATCATTTCGTTTTATATGAAATTTATGTATTGAACCAGAATATTCAGCATTTATTGAACCAGTTCCATGACGTGTTCGAGCTGTTTGTGGAGTTTCTGGTGGATAAGGAAATTCAATAATAACATAAGTTTCAATAGATGTTGACGAAAAACCCGATGGAACACGTAAATTTATACCACGAAGAACATTTACCTTAAAAGAAAACTTGTTTTTTTTTTGTATATGAAATAAGAAAATATTCTAAACTATAAATAGATATTCAGAAGATACAACAACACTTAAAACTGATCATCTATCACACTTCAAAAAAAAAATAAGCCATCATATCCATTTATCGCCATTAACGTAAACTCCGACAAGATTTTGTGACCCTTTATGAATTCATATATCCTCGTATAACTTTCTAGGTTCATCAATCTTTTTGCTGGGTGTATGAACAGAATAATATCTTCAAGTGACAGGATTATCATTGCACGTTTTAAACACAAATGTAGGATGATCAGTCTTCATCTAAGGATTGATTCAGTTCGTATGCCTTAAAATTGTTTATAAACACAAAAAAAAACGTATGAGTCTTTGGATTTATAACAAGTCGCTAAACTTTGTCAGGTTCCACGAAAGGGTTATATCCTTAAAAATGTCGAATCTCATCCTTTTGAATGAGAAATTGCAGTTTTCGCAATGCTCTTAACTAGAAAGAAAGTGCGAATTATTTTTCAAATGTGTCTTTCTATTGAATCAGTTTTTAATGATATAGAGGTACATCGTTTTGAAGTATTTCTAGTCTTGTCTAATAAATATATGATATTATAAACTGATATTTTGAGCAAATAAATTATGAAAACAGGGTTACATTTTGGTGAAAAGGCAACTCTATATGTTAAAACCATCTTGAGATACAAGAAAAACAAGACCATCAGTTAAATGTATGATAAATTTTTGAAGCTTTTTGTATATACCATATGGCACTTTTAAAAAGTATGAATACGTGCAAACATTAATATATAAATAGATCTATAGCTCTTGAAGTATTTCAAAAAGTTTCAGGTATCAAAAAGTATAATTAAGTGCGTACAAAAAGACTAAAAAGAACTAAACAAATGAATATTGATTAATAGCATTTGTCTAATAACAAAAGGCAAAACGACTACGTCAGACTCTCGTTATCTTATTTAATTGTAGCCAGTTTGTTGACTATTTATTATTTTCATTTTATTTTATACTATGAATATTTCAAAGATGACTAACATAAAATGCAAACGTTATTAATACAATATAACAAATACATTTATTAATTCTAAATATTATAAGTTAATAAGTAAATCTTTCATAGATGAAGAATTAATAATGCGACATAAGTTTTCGTTTTCAATATGAAGTGTTTTTTTCTTTATAAAATGGCCTAAGAAAGTATATATTTAAAAGAAAGTTTCTTGATCTCAAGCGATACATTGTCTATTGTCAAACACACGATAGCTAAATTTGCCATTATCGGAACTTTGTAGAAAAACTTCCAACAAATCGATAACTGAATTATTGAAATAAACATTGATCACTTCCGTAAGTTTCCAGTAAAAATCATGAGATCAGAATTTTCAATGAACATCTCGTTTTCTGACCGGATGCACGCAAACTTCAGTCATATTTCTATCAGTCAACCATTTCTCAACATGAAGTCTCAAAAAATTTGCATTTGATCAACAAACTAGCATAAATATCATCTATATATATAATGCTCAGTGTCTGTTTCTCTGCCCAAGGTCAAAGATCAAATAAGACTATAAGGGGACAGGTCCTCAAGGTCTATTATATGGGGGTATCTATAGGTACTTAAAAGCTATTATACAGGGGTCCCTATAAGTCCTCAAGGGCAATTATATGGTATATCTATAGGACATGAAGAGTTATAATATGGTGGTAGCCATAGGTTCTGAGGGGACTAAGGCAGTAAGTTGTAAGGCAATAAGGGGATAAGGCTACAGTAGCTACAAGGAATACAAGGCCGTAGGGCTATCTATCTATATACATAATATCGAGTGTCTGTATGTCTGTTCCTGAATGAAAAGTTAAACGTCTTAGGTCATACGTTAAAGGAGAAAACAGCTGTGCAGTATGCACGGGCTCTCGCTAGTAAGAAATATTGTGCACTATTCTATTTCCATAAAGATTACTTTAACAAGTATCATATATAACTTATTTTCGTCTTTTGTATTTTAAATCATAAATGATCACCTTAACATTTTCATGTATTTAAATATGAAAATATGCTATCAAGATTTAGAGAAACATCTTCATAGAAGCCACTCTTATCTATATTTCAAACAAACTAATTTCTTTCTTTTTGTCAAGACATTTCAAGTAATCGAGATCAACAATAGTCTACATTCTTTTTGTTTTGGAATACCATTCTAAAAACTGAACAGATGTTTAGCAAACTATTATTTTCTCTTCGTCTAAACCATTAATCATATTAATTTAATAGAACGAATTTACTTAGGTCCTTTTTTTTACCTCAAGATCTTGATCTGTTAAATCATCATTAACTTGTATAATATTCAATTTTCTTGTTTCATAATGAAATACGGGTGGTTTTAAACCTTGTTGAAAACATTTTCTTAATTGTTCTATATCATGTGCACAACGTTGTTCAAGAATTTTAAATTCATTTGCTTGTTTTATATTATTTGAACCTTCCATTTGTGCATACATTTGTTGATTACGTGCACATAATTGCATTTGTCGTAGAAGATCATCTTCTAAACGACGATATATTGTATCACGATCAGATTGTCGAAGTTCTTCTGTTAATTCATCCTCATGAATAATTTCAATATTTTCATTAGCTAATTCAGATATCTAAAAAAAATAAATATGTAATAGTTTTTTTCAATGTAAATTATTATAGAAATAAAAATCAATTCCAATACTTGATTCATATCAATAGATAATCCAGATTCAACAGATTCAATCTTTTTTTCAATTTCTTTAGAAGCCAAAAGATGTTTTTTAGCCGTATCAATATCACCTATAAATCATAGAAAGATATATTTATCATAATAAAAAAGAAAACGAATAAATATACCTTTCTGTTTAGCTTGTAAAGCAAATTTTATATATTGTTCTTTTTTAAGATGAAGTGTTTGTAATTGCTGATCTTTTCGTGTATCTAAACATAGAATAATTTATTACAAAATAGAACAGAAATTACGAAGTTAACTAACTGGTTGAAGGTTTAGATTCTACTTGTGGAATAGAAGTCGTCGGAAGAGATGTTTGCTGTTGTGGAATAGAACTCGTTGAAAGAGTTGTTTGCTGTTGTGGAGCTTGTGATGATCGTACTAATGTAGGTGATTGCAATGGTTTTCCTGATGCTCCTGTAGCAGCAATAGTACCAGTAGTAGATGGTTGTACTTGAGGAGGTTTCGATTGTTGAATAGGAATTGGTGCAAAACCAGGTAATTCTGCTAATTCATTATAATCAAATGGACGACCTTTTCGTGTAGCATCAATAGCTTCTTGATATTGCTATTAGAAGAACGAAAGAGAGATTAATTTTTCTTTTTAAACAAAAGCTGTACTTTGGCAAGTCGATCCATTCGTCTTGCTTTAGAACTCTCTCCTTTACTAATGGCTTCTTGATGTCGCTTGACTAATTCTTCATGTCGTTGTTGTAATGCTTCCATTACAGTACGTGGTTCTGGTGCTTTTACTATAAATCAAAACATATGTTATAAATATAAAACAAAATAGATTACATACATGGTACAATTAGTGCGGATGAATCATCGTCATCAGGATTATTATTAGGTATTTCTATATGTGCAGAAGAAGAAGAAGGAACAGAAGGGGGAAGAGGAGCAGGAGCCGGATTCGAAACAACTGTTGCTCCTCCTTGCAAAGTCTATATGTTATAAAGTAATTAAAAAAACGTTAAAGATTTAAATATGTGAAAAATCATACTTTCATTTGAATAAGATATTCTTTGGCTTTGTTTATATCACCATCTCTTTTTGCTTGTAAAGCTAATGATTTAAGTCGTTCAATAGCTGCATCATTTGTATTAGAAGCTGACACGATTGGTGCTGATTCTAAATGTGACTATCTTATGTGTTTGATTATAAACAAATAACTCTAGTTACGTTGAGAAATGATTGGTTTATTATCGATTGATAAAGATGTTGCAGATGGTAGTGATGATGGTGGAAGAGAAGAATCTCGAACAGATACGTCTTCTGAAATGATTTTTGGTTGAGATGACGAAGAAGTAGGAATAAAAAGTTCAGGTGGAATATCATTTTCATTAATTTGTGCACCAATTCGAGCTGATTGAAGTAATTCTTGAATAAGCTAAATATAAATTAACATATATATCATTATTAAAATTTTCTTTCATAAGAGAATAAATTTACTTTAAGTTGTCGATCTAGTCGTCGAATTTTCGAAGCATCTCCACTTGTTTTAGCTGTTTCTACAGCTTTTTTATACATATCTAGACGTATTTCAAGTATTGATAATATATTGCTATTTGATATTGATTGTACTTGTTTTGTTTCAATATGTTTATCTTGTTGTTCACTTTCTATTTCACCAGCAATATCATGTAATTCAGCCTATTGTTAATGTAAACTCTGATAAATTTAACACAAAAAAAAAATAATCATGATGATTCTACTTACAAGAAGATCCTCTTCGTCACCTTCAGATAATTCATCATCATTTATAGGTCGATCAATATCCGTGAGAAGTTTATTAACATCATTATGAAATGATTGAAGATCTGGAGCTGCATTACCTATATGAAATAAAAATATTCAAAATATTGTAGAGTTCAAAACGAATAGCTATTCTATACTGCAATTTTCATAGGCATAGACATGCATGGTTATTTTTATCTTTTACTTATAGAAGATGCTGTACAATTACATATGAAGCTAAGTATCATCATTTTTACTAAATAAAACTGAAGAAACAACAAGCATCGGTGTTTACGAAAAGCATTGCTTAGAATGAAATGTTCATTTCGAGATCTATATAGTTATTCAGTTTTCGTAGTGTCTGTAGTTTGTATAGATTTCCAAACAACAAACCTGGCTTTTTTGAATTAGCTTTAGAACGTTTTGATGCATGACCACCAACATCTTGTTGCATTTGTTTTAATTCAGCTTCAAGATCATCATCGTCATCATCATCATCAATAGCATTGAGGTTCGGTTCATCGAAGTTCGGCATTTGAAAGCCCAACTTTAATAAAAAAAAAATAGAAACAAACAATACAGAATGAAAAACCTAGAAGACTACAATTATATATACCTGTTGCATCAATGCTTCTCCACCACCGCCTTCTTTAGTTCGTTTTTTTGGTTTGTTATTTTTACTACTTTTGAACATACTCGTAATTTAAGATTGATAAAGATAAAAAAAAAATGTGATGAATGAAACCTTTTTTTTTTTTTTTTGTTTCAACAATAAAAAAAATGAGTCATCTAAGGGATTTTTAAATGGCTATTTTATTATCAAATTACATAGAGTGATAACACATAATTGGTTGACGTGGTCCAACCAATCTATTCAATTGAAAGTCGCTAATATTGTCCAATATATTCAATCATATTCATATTGTTCTTGTCTTTTTTTTTCTTCATACACACCGTTGTTTATTGAATTTTAGTGATTGATCGTAGACATCAGTCATGTCTAGCTGGTTTAATATCGATCCAAATAAGCTTAAAGAATTAGCAGCCAACACATTAATCAATGCACAAAAGCATATAGGTTCAAATAACAAAAAAAATTATCTTTCTAGATTTTGTTGTCTTTTTTTGTTTTTTCTAATACAAATTTTATTTATTTAGACAAAGTCCTCGATATTAAGGATGGTGCTCCTACTACAGAACAGCAACCGATAAGTAAAAATAAACTGAAGAGTTTCTATTTTTATTTTTTTTTTTGTTTTAAAATAATTTTATCTAAAATGATTTAGTTACTAATATTGAAACAAGTAATCCGCTTCGTGCTCCTTCTCCGTCAACAACAACAGCAACAACAAATGATGATTTTTTTTCAACATTTCTTGGTAATCAAAAATCTTCAACATCACCAAAAACAGAAAAAAAAGAAATCAAAGTAGAAAAAGATGTTTCAGTTACAAATTGGAATTTATGGTCGGATCAGAATAATAAATCACAAATAGTAAAAAACAAAAAAAAAAAAAAAGAAAGAATTCTTTTTCTTTATTCTCTGCTTTAATATTAAGGTTTCTTCAGAATCACAGACAAACCTAATAGCAGTCGAACAGAATACGAATGACGAAGAAAAAATTCCAATAACAGAATCTATTAATATACAAACATCATCATTAATAACAGAATCTGTTAGTATACAACAAATACCATCATCATCATCATTAACTGAATCATCAACTATAACAGAAAGTTCTAGTAGTGAAAGTGCTACTTCACTACAACCAATAATAAATATTCCATCATCGGAATCGACTATTATTGATCAAATTATTGAAAATACAACAGATAATGAACCAACAATTATAAATAAAGAAAATGAAAATATAGAATCTGATATTGAACATCGATCTGAAACAATTCAACCATTACCATCTGATAAACGTGATGTTATTGATTCTTGGATAAATAATCGTGAGATTAATACAACAGAGTATGTATTATATCTTGATGTGAAATTTATAATAATTAGAAAAAAAAAAAAAAGAATAGTTATCAGAAGAAATTTATTTTGTATAAGTATTTATATACATGACTACAATATTTGATTGATATAGATTTAAAATGCATGACAAATAGTAAACGAACCATGACAATAATTGAATGACAAGGCAATCTATAACAGTTTGATTAATCGATGATTTGAACATTCATTTTTAGTTAAAAAAATACTAATGAATTTTTAAACATATTACAAAAAATTTTCTATTATTTTTCGGATAACATGTTGTTGAAAATAAACAATAGGTTGCATTAACCTAAACATTCTCATAGCCGAAAATAAAATGATTACTTGAATAATTGAATCAAACACGTTAAAAATACAAAACAAGTTTTTTTTTTTTTTACAAAAAAAAAACAAATGTATCGCTGCTTCTCTTCCAAGGACAAAAGGTCAGCCTTATTACAAGGTTACCTTTAAAAAACATTTCACAATACGTAGTGAAAGGTTATGAGCTTTTCAAAAGTTCAGCGAACTTTACCATCTAAAAACTTCGACTTTCGAGTAAAATATCATATGTTTAAATTAATATTTCCAATTGTTTCTCGTAAAAGTGTTTTTCTTACGAGGGAAGCTTCTCCGATATCACCTTTCAATTGAAATAATTTTTTGTCTATAAATACTATAGCTGCTATTACTATTCAGCTAAGCTATCAAATTTTTCATATGTTTATTTTCCACATTCGAGAGTTTCCAAAACACTCTTATTTTTAAATTTCGATCTGAAATTTTACGCATATAAAGAACTTGACTAGATTAGCTTTCAGAAAAAAAGAATTCAGAAGTTTTTAAACAAACTCTCGTTGAGATATGAAGCTTTCAGAAAATGCATGATATAGACACTATTTATGAAAAAGGGTCTATATCTTGCAAATCTGATAGTTCTAAGAGAATTTGTTCGAAACTTGTCAATTATCTATGAAATCTCGTATAGTTGAGTTCTTCATATGCACAAGGTTTTAGATCGAAATTATTTTAGCATTTTTGATTAGAACACTGTTTAATATTTGTAACCAAAAAGTTATTAAAATCAGAAAGGAGACATCTTAGAAAGTTTTCTTGTTACCAAAAATCCTGGTTTTCGAAGCTTATTTGTCAAAAAAAACAACATCTGTTTGAATACGAGAAAAGTTTCTCAAAAAAATCTTCGATTTTCTAGATAAATCTCATGAAAAACATCAAGCCCAGAATAAAAAGTCTTCTTTGTAGGAACAATGTGAATTTTCATAATGAAAGATCCTAATCTTGTATTCTGAGAAGTTTACTTTAAAAAAAATTAATCATACACTGTAAATTTGTCTCATCAATTTTCATTTTGATTAAATTAATTTTTAGAAATAATTCTGAACAAACATTACAAAACAAAGATGATATTGATGTATCACCTCTATTATATACATCATCATATCCACCAAATAATTTTCTAACAACATCAATAATTGATGATGATTTAACACCAACACCTGTTGAAACAACAAATCATGATAAAGAACCACACCTAGAACCTATTTCAACAGACGAAGAAGATAGTAATGCATGTGTTGAACAATCAAATTCACCAACTCATACTATATCATCATCTAATGGACATGATACAGTTAGTTTTTCATAATACTAAGAAAAAAAAAATTCTTTTTTTTTAAATTTCAATTTAGAATAGTAAAGGATCATCTGATGATGGTAAACAAACATCATGTGCATCATCAGATATTGAAGTAATATCATGTCCAAGTGTAACTGGTGGTTTACCAGTTAGTACAACAGAAACATTTGATAAATGTCGAGAATTACGTGATGCTCGACGAACTGCAGTACGTGAGGTTTGAATTTATTTTAGATTTATTAAATTTTATTTAAGTTTTAAATATATTTAGGTTGTTGTACGTTTTCCATCACATTCAACAAATTTAAAATATCATCATCATCCATTATCAATGGATAATATTGATAAAAATACTACATCAAATTTTGATACACCAACATGGTCAACTCTAATTGATGAGGCAGCTACTGAACAAAATCACTATCAAAATGTAAGAATTGATAATTATTTATTTATAAGGTTTTGTTTTGTTTTTAAATTAGTCACATGAAGAGAATGATGATGAACAGCAAAGTATGTATTTTATTTCTTTTTCTAAGTTTGATTTTATTTTTGAAATTTAGAATTCTATACGTCAGACGCTTTGAAAGTTTGTGATGATTATATTGATATTTAATATACAAAAGAATGATATTGTTTTCTTTTTGTTAATAATAGGAATTAGATGAATTAAAAGAATGTCTTGAATTACGTGAACAAGCTTTAAAAAAATTAACAAATGAATCTAATGAATTACATCGAACTAATCAATCATTGAAACAGTAAATTACATGAAAGAAAATTCGTAATTTAATATTATTTTTCTTTTCTTTATTGTTATAAATAGATCATTGACAGAATCAGAACAACGTACATCTCGTTTAACGATGGAATTTCAACAAACAATTGAAAATCTTTCAATGAAAATTGAAGAACAAAGACATATTGCACAAGTAATATATTCAATATTTTTGGATATAAAGTTCTCATAGTTAGAAAAAAAGATTCGTTCGAATATTAAAGCTTATATCAAAAAAAAAACTTGAACGAAAGAATTTTCTATATAACTAGATAATGAATAGTTTCGCGCTATATATGAATTTAAACGAACGTCAAAATCTAAGTTTTCTGAATTTTACAAGACTGAGTCATTTCAGTGATAGGTTTCTTAAATCTAATTGAACTTCCTTAGAAAAGATATCGTAATTTTGTTGAATTTATCATATTTTTGAACAATTTGACAATCTTTAACTAATATTGCATGCTTTTTATATCAATGATATGTCAAAATTCGTTCTTCAAACTCACCGATCAGTCTTCATTAACAATTTTTGTATCCAAACTCAATTTAAAAATACAGAGTGTAACATAACCATTACGTCCCCCATCTAGAACGTAAAGTATAAATGATATCAAAGAATTTTATATACTAGATTAATGCTCGTCAAAAACTGGATTTATGAGTATAATTAATAGATTTTAGAACAATTCTTGTCTATGAAATTACTGAAATGTCTTGAAATACATGCAGAAATGCGCTCGTATTTTACGATTTCCCTTCTTCGTGTAGATATTTTCACCAAAAATAATAGCAAATTCGTAATCTCCATAAAAAACTGCATCTATAGACATGTCATTTGTATCTTTTTAACGAAAAAACAATCCTAAGGAATGCGCATTTTATGCCTGAAATACACACCACGCAAGGTTTTTGAAAAAAATTTTTTTCGTTAAAAACAGTCAAATGACATGTCTATAGATGCAGTTTTTTATGGAGATTACGAATCTGCTATTATTTTTGGTGAAAATATCTACATGAAGAATGAAAATCGTAAAATATGAGCACATTTCTGCATGTATTTCAAGACATTTCAGTAATTTCATAGACAAGAATTGTTCTAAAATCTATTAATTATAATCATAGATCTAGTTTTTGACGAGCATTAATCTAATATATAAAACTCTTTGATATCATTTATACTTTAAGTTCTAGAGAGGGGTGTAATGGTTATGTTACACCCTGTATAACTCTACTGATCAATTTTATATAGTCATTATGCAAACAAAACTGATTAAGAAATAAAACTGTTGTACTATCATACTTGTTCTCGTAATATTGAGAGAGCTTACAATAAAGATGATATTTATAATCCCAACAGTTTTCTAATTGATTTTTGATTTTTAATAATTCTAATCAAACTCCATGGGGCAGAATAAATCGCAGAACATTTCTCTGAGGAATAATAGAAATGCATCAAAACTTTTTGTTAATCATTTAATCTCACATTCACTTATAATAATTTAATATCTAAAATAATCGATCAGTCAATTATCATTAATGGAAATAAATGTTAGACAAAGATATATATACTATTGACTGAAATTCTTATGAATGATAAGACATTTAAATAAGAAATTTTTCTATTTCAGGATCGTGATCATCTTCGAAGACAACTTGATACATTACAAAAACAATTATTTGAAAAGTCTATAGAACTTCTGTTTTTTTTGTTTTTCTTTTGATTTAGATTAATAATAAATAATTTCTATTTAGTTCAACATCATCGGGTAATACAATGGCTGTATTACGTGAAAAAGAAGAACAAATACAACAATTACTTGATGAAGGTGAAAAATTATCTAAAACTCAATTACAACATACAAATATAATAAAAAGATTACGAACTAAAGAAAAAGAACATGAAACTTTAATAGCATCATTGAAGTATGTTAATCCCTTCTTTTTTTTTTTGTCTTTTTCACTTTTCTTCTATTTAAATTAATTGTAGTGTTCGAATTGATAAATTAACAAGTGAATTAGATGAAGCAAAGAAAAATCTACAAGAAAAAGAAGAAAATGAAAAACAATTAAAAGGTATATAAAAAAAAATTCTTTCTTTTTTTTTGGCATCAATTAATATTTTTTCTATATGTTTAGAAACTGTTAAAAAACTTGAAAAATCTGCAATACATTATGAAAAAGAATGTATATCATTAAAATCCTTATATGAAGATGCTGAAGAACAAATTCGTAGTACAAAAGTTGCACTTGAAAATTCTTATAAGTAAATCAAAAAATTTTGTTTTTTTTTTTTTTTTATATAATTTTCTTTTTTCTTTCTTTTTTCTTGATTGATTAACATTATAGAGAAATATCTGAATTAAATAAAACAAAAGCAGCAACAGAAAGTAAAGTTGTTGAAGCAACATTATCAGCTGAAATATTATTAAAAGAAGAAATTCGTTTGGCTGTTGAAAAAGAACGTATTATATCAAGACAAGAACAAGAAAAATTACAAATGACTATTGATGAATTACGACATTCCATTCAACGAAGTGAAGTTCAACTTAATAGAAGAGAACAAGTTTTAAGACAAGAAATTAATGATCTTCGACAAGTATATTTTCATTTTATTCTAATATTAGATCATATTTTATTAATTATATTAGACTATTGATTAAATAAGAAATTATTTGTGAGATAAAGCTTATTTGCTTAGATAAACTCTATAGAGATTAGATAAAAATTAAAATGACTTATGCTTGTAGAATCTTGGTGTTTTGAACTATGATCAATTTTGAAGAGTTTGCTAAGAAAATATTATGATAAAAAGATCATAGAAAATTTGTTCTGTTAAGAATATTGTTTGTGAATAGTTTGAATTAGATACTGGAAAATCAATTTTGAAGAATGATGAAAGGAAAAAAAAAATCAGAGGATTATGTTATAAAACGATTTGTAGAGATGAATTGTTTGAAATTTTAGTAAGACTCATCTTAAATATGATTTATTATTTGGTAAGTTTTTCGTGTAGAAAGCTGGATTTTGCGATTTATCTTCCGATAGTGAATCATCATAATTCTAAAATTTGAAATTGAAATTAATACTCGAATTTAAATCTTTGAAGTTGTACAAATCAATCAAATTAATTCTTACAAATTCAATTTTATCTATCATAACTTCGAAATACCTGCATAAAGCAATGCTTTACCGAAATTTTATCTTTCGAATGGGTAAACATCTATTATTTGGAGAACAGACACATAGGGCGTGCTATAATAACTGCAAATTTCAAAACAGTCTTCTTGATCTTTGAAGAGACGCTGCTTTCTCGTTCCCTTTGCTACCTAAAACATTAACATAAATCAAAGCAAATAGAGTATCAGAGACTATACAAAAGCATATAGGTTTTTTGTGATGATGCTTTCAATAGATATCTGAAAAGTAATCTATTTAAATTGAATTAATTTTAAAATCTTTAAAATAATGAAATATCGATTTTCTATAAATTTCTAATCGAATCAAAACAAAAACATAATCACTCTAATTTATTTTAGAGACTTCAAGAAGCTGAATCAAGAAATGAAGAATTAACACAAAATATATCCAATGGTAAACTCTCTTATTTCTTATAATTAAAATTTCTTATTATTTTTCTTTACTTAGCTACACGTCCACTTCTTCGTCAAATTGAAAACCTTCAAACAACATATGTAACACAGATAAATTCTCTTGAAAAAACAGAACGTCAATTAACTGATCGTCTTGGTATATCAACAATAATAATAATAATTCATTCAAATAAAATTTTCTTTTTTTCGTTATGTTTAGCTGAAATGCAAGCACAATATGCCATTAGTGTTGAACATGAACGTGTAGCTAATGAAACATTATTAGAAACGAATGCTAAATGGAAATTAGCTGAAGCACAATTATCAACATATAAACAAGATAAAACACGTTTAACATCAGAAATTGACATTCTTAAAATGAAATTAACTAATCTAGAAGATGCTAAACACAGGTTAAAAAAAATAATATCTAAAATAGAAGCAAAAAGTTTAGAGAGAAAATACTTTTTTTGATTTTTTTTTCCTCAGCGATAACAGCTAAAGCAAATCAGAGAAAAGGATAAACTTAAGAATGAGGCTTTCATAGAATGATTGCCATCGGTTGAAGATAGATAATCGGAAGCTCAGAGACATCTCAAAATGTTTTTTTTTCTATAAGATGAACTTGTTACTGTTAATGAAGACTTCGTAAGTACTTAGGGCAAACCAAAAGTTCGTAGAACGGTTTTAAAGAACCTTGTCGGATAAGGTAACCTATTCAGAAATGAAAAACCAAATATACCATGTTGTAGACCTTTTTGAGGCGCATCGAATGGTATATAATAAATCCTGCTTTCAATAGACTTTGAAGGAACTAGAGTCAATTTACTGATAGACAACTACGCACTCATACTCACACCCTCACCTAAGTATGATAGGTTACTGAATATTGTGGTCCTTGGGATTAGTCGAAAGTGTTTGTAAAATAATTTTTCTCACATACGATTTTGCAGAGTTTTTTGACGGGCTACAACCTCATATATGTAGTCATCTTGTCAGTGTGGGTATGGGTGGATGTGAGTGTGGGTGCGTAGTCGTCTATCAGTAAATTGACTCTAGTTCCTTCAAAGTCTATTGAAAACAGGATTTATTATATACCATTCGACGCGCCTCAAAAAGCTCTACAACATGGTATATTTGGTTTTTAATTTCTGAATAAGTTACCTTATCCGACAAGGTTCTTTAAAACCGTTCTACGAACTTTTGGTTTGCCCTAAGTACTTTTTCTGATAAGAAATTATTTTCAACTTGTCAAATCTTTCCTTTGATTCGTTCTAGTTGTTACCATTAGGAATTAAAATAAATCGATTGTGAAATTTTTTTTTATAGAGAAAAAACTCAAATTGAAACAATGCAGGAAGCATTTACTCAACAAATCAATAGTCTCATACAAGAAAAGGTTTTAATACGATTTTAAATTTAAATTTTTAAAACTTCGCTTTTCTTTTTTTAGAGACAACTTGAATTAGATGCTGAACTTGAAAAAACAAAATATGAAAGTGATTTAAAACGATTACAAATTGTTCATGATGCATTAAAAGAACAAGTAAATAAAGTTTCAAACTTAACAAAAAAAAAACTAAAATCTTTTTTTTTGTTTCCATAGCAACATCTATTTGAAACACAGTCAATAAGTCGTTCGAGTTCAAATCTTGAATCAACACTTCAACAACAACGTAGTCGACGTTCATCCGGTGGACATGATACACCATCTTCATTTTCATTTGAACGTTCTCCAGTAATACAAAAAGAAAACTAAAATAAAAAAAAGAAAGGAAAATATCAATAGAGATTATTTTATTTTTTACTTTTAGTTTGTTCCAACACCAAAACCAAGTGTATATGAAACTTTAAGAAATACAGGCGCAATAGCTGTACTTGAAAGTTTAGAAGCACAATTAAAAGAAAAAGAAGGAGAAATAACATTATTACAAGTATAAAGATTTTCTTTTTCTTTTTAGAAATTATATTTTGTATTTTGTTTTTTTTTAGAGTGAAATTTCAGATTTAGAACGTACACGAGAATCAATGGCACGTGAATTAGTTAATTTATCTACAATAAATGAAAAATTACAATATCAAACACAAAATTATCCAATACTAAATGAACAATATAAAGTATGTTAAGAAAATAAATAAACTTATTGTTTTTTATTTTTTTTTTTAAATCATTAATTTCACAGGAATTAGAAAAACGTTATAATGCACTTTTAACAATGTATGGAGAAAAACAAGAAGAAGCTGATGAACTTCGACTTGATCTAGCGGATGTTAAAACACTTTATCGAGCTCAGGTTAGTTTATTAATTAGATAATATATCAATTAGAATTTAATATGTGATATTTTCAAAAAAGATTGATTAATTAGTATTAGTTTATAGATATTTACATTAATATAACTATATTAGAAGACAATAAATGCGAATAAATAATTTATAAATATATACAGTATGATTAGAGATAATAAACGATTGAGATTTTGATTATGTAAACAATTTCTTCAAATTCTGAGTCTTCTCTGTTGATCATTTCATGTTTAGTGATTATTCAATTTTTAACGAATCTAACATAAAGAAATAGGTTTTTTTTGTAGAATTTTAAATAGATAATCTTTAGACACTTTGAATCAATAAATCTTGAGTAAAATCAAATGAAAAATATCGTGAAAAATACGATACAATGTAAAGAAACAAGAACTCAAACAGATTCTAGTAGATCATAAAATATGATAGAAAGATTCATCAGGATTTATATAATAACCTATATAATATTCTCATAAATATTAATTAGCAATAGTAATTGTAGGACACTGTGTTTTAGAATTCGATTATGATCTTCTATACATTGAGATTTTCATAAAATACTTCTTCAAATTTTAACATAAAATTTCTTATTAATTCTCTTTTATGTTACAGAGAGTAAATTTTATACTAGTTTAGTTACACATATTATTCCCTCATGGATAATTATTGCTTATTTAAATTAATCTAAGTTATAGTTTTTAACAGAAATATGATTATATGTTCGAGAAAGATAATTTTAAATAAAGTTTTTCATAGGTTCGTATTAAACCTGCTTATGACTCTCTTTTAACTTTATTCGATCGCACTAAAAGTTAGAAGTAGATCGTAAATATGTCCGATGTGATCCTGTAGAAATTTCACATGGATCGCTATTACATGTTTCAAAAAAAAAGAGAGACATTATTCTTAAAGTTTCAAATTGATTTTTTCTCGGCCGAGTTCAATTAGTTTACTAGCATAACATTATTTTTTTTATTTCATGTTTTGTTTTTATTTTAGATTGATGATTTGATGAAGCAAAACTCACAAATACGATAATTGATTTGACTAAATCCAATCTTTATATTCACTTATAATACCTAGGACAGATGATGTTGGGTTCACTGTGATACATTTTTTGTTTTTCTGATATTGTTATTTTATTATTTTCTCTCTTTTTCTCTTTTATTCTTATCTCTCATAGATTTTCATTTTCTTTTGTTTTCTTTTTTTGAAAATATAATATTAAAAGAATAAATTATATTTATAAATAATCAATCTTTCAGATGTCATTATCAGATAGTTATTCATGTCGTTTATCAATATATTCATCATTAGAAAAACTTTTTTCACCAAATCCTACCATACCATATCCATCACATGTTTATATACATGGAAATAATAATACAGGAAAATCAACAATTATTAAACATGTACTTAATCAATATAAACATACAATTTTATGGTTTGATTGTCGTGAAATATATTCATTAAATATGTTCTATCATATATTTATTTCATTATTATCAAATGATACAATTCCAACAATGAAAAATTTCAATGATTTTATTCGAATATTACGTGATATATCTATTCAAGATATAAATCATGTAAAAAAAAAGAAAACTAAATCATATTATTTTATTGTACTTCATCATATTGAACTATTATTAAACTATGATACAACAGGACATTTACTTTATCTTCTATTTAAATTAAATGAATTAACATTAGGATATTTTCATCATACACTTATATTAATTGGTCATCAACCATTTTATCAATTACCACACATGAATCAAATTGAAGTTGAATTAGGTGTATTAACACCAACAACTATATTTATACCGGCTTATACTCGTACAGAAATTGTTACAATATTACAAAATATTTTAACACGTATGAATTATTCTTCTTCTTTTTTTGTGTTCCGGAAATTCTGAAATGAGTTTAAATACTCATCGTCACTGATTTGAGCTAAAACAAATTCTGCAATTTTCATAGATTATTATATCTAATTCATATTTAATAATTACAAAGTTTTAAATATGCCAGTCACAAATCTCCTTAAACAAAATACTAACGGCTGTTTGTCTTCGATCACTCATCCAATAGTATGCTCACTACTTTATAAAATACACTTGCGCTTGTGATTAGTTAGTGTGTATGAGGAACTCAAACAATTGAGTACAAGAACTCTGCGTCAAGTCGGCCTTCTGTCCAGAGCTACATGTAATCATGGTTATCAGAAAGATGTTGAACCTTTGGATCTGCTGCAAGGTAGCTAAAGGGCAGAATTTTGTTTGGAATCTAAATCATCTTGAAAAAATTACTTTTTTTCTTTTTTTTTTGCAAATCATCAAATCACTTCGCTGCTATTTCTGCTACAGTAATTTGCGTGAATTCTGCATATCTATCAACAGTAAAATACTTTTTCTTGCGACGATCATTACTTTGTGGTTTGATGAATTCTTACAATTCATTCATCGAAAAACTTTATCAATTGAACGTATTAGAATATTGATAAAATAGTATATGATAATGTTATTAGTTTCTCATACATAGCAAAAACAATAGACTTGATATTTTGTGGTTACGTGATATTGAATATAAAATAAAAAAAACGATAAATTTTAAAATCGTCTCAGAATTTCGAAAAAAAACCTTTCTAAAAAAAAAAAAAGAATTTTATATATTTTTATTTTAGAACAACAAGATATTCTTCCATCATCTATTAGTCAATTACATATTATAATTGAATTAGCGCTTCAAATTTTTTATACTGTTACAAATGATCTTGTCGAATTAAAAGATATGATAACAATGTGTATTAAAGATTTTTTACGTAATACAACAAAAAACCAGATCAATGATGATGGAACTAATAATGATTATCGAATGCTGTATCAAAAAGAATTTTTTATGCAGGTATTTATTTAAAATAGATTCAATCTAATGTTCTCATTTTGAAGTTTTGGCTTGAGATTCGTAACCAGAAGTTCTCAGAATGAGTAAAATCAAAACCAAGAATTGTTTTTATAGAGAAAAGCCTAGTAAAACATACTCTTCAAAATGATTACAAAATTGATTTCTCGAGCTTATTAATTATTAATATTTTAATCACTTAAGATGAAATAGCGAAGAAGCTTTAACTCAAATGATCGATTTACATTTTGAAATCACTTTGAAATTATTCTATGATGAATTGGATAGCTAATATGTTAATTTGATATAATTGTTCTCTCACATCTATCCTGTTTTTAAAAGTGAAGCATCTTATGTAAATAATAGATTCAAGTTTATAAATTACTTTTTGTTTGTGGAATTTCACCTTTTTTAAATGTTAATTTTTTTGTCTCAATGCTTCTTGACCTCAACAAGAAGAATTTTCATAACAGTGTAATTCATCAACGATGTTTGTTATGTTTGAAGTAGGATTCATTTCATTTTTAATGATTCAAATATTAATGATTATCAGCTGTATGGATCAATTTATATTTATTTTAAAGATCGGGTTTTATTGTTTCTCTATAAAAACAATTCTGTGTACAGGTTTATTTGTATGAAAACATCTATTAAAAACCACGAGTCAAGAATTTTGGTCCAACTTTTATGTATAAAAAAAAATCTCAGTTGACACTAAATGAACATCATCTAAGAGATTATTAAACATGAGAATCGATATAAATCTAGTAGATTTTCTAATAAAATTTCTTTAATCATTAGAAATGCGAAAAAAATATTTATATATCTGAAATGATAATATCTCTTATTTCAAAGTATTTATTTATTTTTTTTTCATTTATAGGTTCTTAATTCTGTTTATACACGTTCAATGAGTATTCGAAAATTTCTTCATACACATACAGCTGATGAAGAAACAACTGATAATTCATCTCAAATATCTACTATTAATAATAATAATACACGTGATCTTCCATTATCAGCAAAATTTCTCTTAATTGCTATTTATTTAGCAACACAAAATCCAATAAAATATGATCGTATGTTATATGATAAACAAAGTCAAGGTAAAAAAAGTCGACGTGCGAAAATAATGCATAAACGAACACAACTTGAATCATCAAAAATTGAATATTTACCATTATCATCAAATAAACCCATATTACTTAATCGTCTATTAGCTATATATTGTTCATTACAAGGTGATACAATACCATTAACAACACAAATCTATACTCAATTATCTTTATTAACATCAATGCGTTTAATTGAATTTGTTGGAAGTTCAAATGAAACTGGTATATTTAATTTAAATGAACCTAAATATCGTTGTACAAGTTCAAGTGATTATATTCGACGTTTAGCTGCATCGATTGACTTTAAAATTGATGATCTTATACTAGTCTAAAACTTTCAATTAGTCAGATATAGATAGAAATATATATGTATTTTCATAAAAAAAAAATGTTAGATAATAAAAATGAATAGATTGTATATATAAACAAAAAAATTAAACTTTATTTTTTTCCAACGTTGAATAACAATTCAATATTGAAAAAATAAAAATTTCATGTTCGATTAATGAATAAAAATGTTGATAATATCATAAGAATCATTGTTATAACAATCTAAATAGTAGAAATTATGAATATTATTTATTTATAGAGAAATAAACAAATATATACCTTCGATTGTTCATATAATAAAATGATTGCTGAAACTCTTAAATACGCTAATGTACAAGGAATATAAGATTCATCAGATTTTGCTGTTTTTAATTTTCGACAACTAAAATTTAAAAAACATCGAATACAAAAATCTTTGAAAAACTATTCACTTGAATAATCTTAACGAAGTAAATTCAACAATGCAGTAAGCCTATAATAATAGATGTTATATCCTTACATCTATTATCAACCATATGGTTTGTTATTCGATAGGAATATAATTACAATTAACAACTATAGATAAGAGTAGAGATACGTAAGATTACCTTGCCCTACTCTGTAGGATCGGGTACAAATTAGAAAACTTGTCTCAGTTAAGATACAGGATATTAAAAAAAAAGTTTTTTCTGCATATCTCTAAATACTAGTGTCATAACTAGCAAAACGTTTTAATTCTCGGACAAGTTGAGCATTTTTTGTTTTTTATATAAAACTTGCATCTAGAAGTTGAAAATCAGAGAACACCAGTTCTTGTATGGTATTCTGATAAAGATAATACTTGTTTTTTTTTTCAAATTTACACTTTACAACGTATAAGAATAAATGAAGATTAGAGAAAGAGTTTACAACTTGCATTGAAATATAACCTTCGAAAGAAAAATTTCTGATCTGTTTTATTGAAAAAAATTTTAATAGAAAAATACAAATGTTCACAAAAAGAAGATATTTGTATTGTGAGTATGTTTCCTATAGAAAATATTTAATAGGTATATAATCTTAATCACCAAAATTGGCAAAAATAAGTGTTCGATCCTATTAAAATGTTGTAGTTCTGTCGTCTATGACTAGGGTGTTCATAAGAAACTTGATCAAAAATATGTCTTCAATTATTTTTTTTCCTTTCAATAAGTTTTCTCAATTCAAACTCTAAGTATTCTCATATAAGAATATATAAAATTAATCATACTATTCATAAACATATTGTAGTCGTCGATATCGATTTGTTACAATTTTTTCATTAAATATAATACCAACTTGAGCCCAAATATTCAATGCAATTGTATTATTCGAATCAGCTTCTTCTTCTATTTGAGCTAAATTATATAAACCCTAAATATAATATTCAAAAAAACAAAAAAGAATACTCAATATTTTCATCATTTAGATAAATCGATTTTTTTTTACTTGAGCATCACCATTTTGATGTAATTGAATATAAAGTTGTATAGATTTTGTAATATTTCTTTTTTTCAATTGATAATATTCAGCAACATTTAATAAAGCATAAGAATCTGTATTTTTATTATTACCATGTACCATTAAATATCTAATAAGTAATTGTTCAATACAATTAAATGTACTTTCATTATGTAACTTTTTTAATTCATTACATAAAAAACCAGCATTAAAATATCCAAGTTCAATACCAGCTAATGCAGTTTGTATATAAAATATAAATGATGTATACCTATCGATAGACAAATAAATAAATAAATTTACAAAACAAATGAACATCAAAAATATTCATAGATTTTCTACCATCGTCGATCTCGATAAGCTTCAACTGCTCGTCGAACAATTGTACCTACTGCTGAACTTTCTTCAGCAACATTACGTGACCAACTAAATAAACATTATTTAATCTATATACATATATAAAAAGATTAAAATTTACATAGCAGCAAGCCAAGGATTTCTCATAACACGAGGATGACCACCGCGAGCATTATAAAAAGCTACAACAATTTTTGAATCAATTTGTTCATGTTGTGCAGCAAATGAATAATATTGCCAAGCTTGAACATGATCAACAATAAAATTTGGTGGATAACGACCTGCTGTCCACATAACACCCTAAATAAAATTTAATTTATTTTATATAAGAGAAAAAGTAAAATTATATAAAAACTAACAAGATTATGTGCACAATAAGCATCATGTGTTTGTTCAAAACATTCTTTCCAATATTGTGCAGCTTTTGTATAATTCTTTTCTATTTCATATGCATGATATCCTTAATTAAACGAAATACGATAAAATTTCAATGAAACTCTTTCCTTATTTTTTTTTTTTGATAGAAAACCTAAAGCAACTTTTGCACCAAGTAAACCACGTTCAACAGCTTTTTCAATTTGTCGAACGGCTTCAGTTACATTTTGTTTTGTACCTTGTCCCTAAACATATTTCATATTTGAATTATGAAAAAAAAAAATGAAACTAGTAGAAATTTACTTTAAGAAGAGCTAATCCATAGCCAAAATGAGATGAAGCATCATGTTGAATAGCACCTAAACGAAAATATTCCACAGCTGCTTGAATATTACGTGTTAAACCATTTCGACCAGCATACATTAATGCACCTAAATGATGCTAAATAAACAGCATAGATAATTTTTTTTTTATGTATATACAAAAAACAATTAAAATAATATTACTTGAGCTGAAGCAACACCACGTCTTGCTTGTTGTTTAAGCCAATAGAATGAATCACTTTTATCAAATGTAAGTCCATCAAGAAGTTTTTTATCAGTAAGATGAATATGTTCCATGGCAGCCTAGATTAGTATTTTTTTTATTTTTTAATTAATAAAAAATAAGTTTTTAGCATGCAGAAATAATTCATATATTCATAAGAAATCTTATTGATATGCAGTCTGTAAAGAGCCACGCAGATATATAAAAAAGTATTCTTTTCTAGAATGTAGTTATTGAAATAAACATTTATATATGGGACCTATTATCTTTCACAAAGCACTTTTCAAACTTTCACACAACCTTGGTATTAGGCATGCTAAGGTTTTAAACTAAAAATTTGTTTAAATAAAGAAAGTCAAGCCATTCCGCATTATTGCACTAGGAAACAACATCTACTCACGTATGACGTTTATATTAAAAAAAAAAAACATTAATCCTAATTCAATTTAAAACACAGTAGAAAATAAAGAGTGTATATCTCAAACTCCTACAATGGGATAACCTCCCGTTGAGCTGAAATTTTCATCCAATACTTCTATATATATTGATTCTAGTCATCAAAGTTTTCCTACGTGAATTTTACAAGTTCATAAAAATTCGAAACTTCTGGTTGGAAATCTATGTTTAGACATTTGTATCACAATTTGACGAGAAACTAGAAGAATATTATGAATCGGCTTTTCAAGTTGCATCAAACCATATATTTATATGTAATAGTTTTTGAGAAAATCTTTGGTTTATTTTTAATGCAAGATTCAGTCTAACAATCTATCACTACAAACCCTGTAAACCGTACAATGAAATTATTTCTGATCGAGCTCAACTTTTCACCAAGTATTTTTGCATAACGATCTTAATGATGGTCAAAGTGTCAAATGTTTTTTAAGACGACTTTAGAGTTTTTGCAAAAGTCCTGTTTTTTTATTCGAAAATCTGTTTTGAAGCATCCATAATAGACTTTAAAGAAAAGTTAAAATGATATTCGAAATCAGTACAATAAATTGCATTGAGTTTATAAAGTTCAAAATTGTTTTCAAAAAAAAACCTTTTATTTCTTTTCTGACATACTATCATTTCTGAGGAATAGAACACTCTTTTCAAGCTAGCAACTCGCATTTCAAGCTTTCGACTGTGTAGATCGAATAGTCCAAACTTTTACTTCTATACTACAACACTTCTTTCAAATTGTATTTTTTTCAAATTAACTAACTTCGCCTGTTTTTGGATGATAAAATTCACGTCTAGATATGTCAGCCATTTGTTGATAATAAACTAAAAAGTAAACAAAAGTTTAATATTAATATTTCAAAAAAAAGAAAATAATAATAATACAAACCATATGCAGTATCATAATCAAGTGGTATGTCATCAAGACCATAAAAATGTCGATGTCCAAGTGCAAGTAAACTAATACGATCATTATGTAATGCACCCGCAAGTAATAATTCAAGCGCCTATTTATTAAATGAAAAAAAAATACAAAAAGGCAAAAAAATGGATCGTTTTATTTTTAATTTAACTAAACTTTTACTCTATATATTGAGTATATTAACTATAATTCTTGCTATAACAGTATTCGTTTTATCAATTCTTACTGCACGACGAACAACAATAAATAATCATGAAAAATATGCTCCAAAAAAATCAACAATTATTAATGATTTTTATTTTCTTATATCAATTTGTATTGGTGGTTCAATATCAATTATATGTATATCTTTATATGGTATTAATGCTGTTTATTTTGAATCAAAAATTTTTCTTATTATTCATGGATTACTTCTTTTACTTACTTATTCATGTTCATTACTTATTGGTTCAGTTATATTTTTTGATGAAAGACAAATTGGTGCACCGGCTTCATTGTTTTTTAAAGTTAAATATTTCTAATTAAAAAAATTTCTTTACTATTTTGATTTTAGGCTCATTATGATTATGCATTATTAACATATTCACATCAATCTATACATAATAAATCATTATCATATAATGATCTTTATTATTATGGAAACAGTTCTTCAATTATAAATATAACATTTGATATTATATTAGATCGTGTTCATAAACGTCTTCATTGTTGTGGTCTTATAGGTATATCAGATTTTGCTAAATTACATATACCTATTCCACCATCATGTTTTAATGATAATGGTACATCATATGAATCATCTTGTTTATATAAATTTCGTTTAGAATCAGTATATAAAGCTCAAATATTTGCTATATGTATTTATATAATGGGAACTCTAATATTAGTTTCATTTTT